TCCTCCTCCTCCCTGCCATCTTGGATATCGCGGCCCTGCGGGGGCGTTGCCACCTGCGCAACTGTCGCCACCGTCGTGGCCTCTTGGGAGGTCAGCGCAGTGGGGGGCACACGCGCGCCCAGACTAGACCTCGCGGTTCCATGGGGGTGGCGCCACCTGGGCAATTGCTGCCACTCTCGTGGGCTCCTGGGAGGCCCAGTGCAGTGGAGACATGCGCGCACCCGGACCAGACCTCGCGGTCTCGTAGGGGCGTTGGCACCTGGAGGGTTTCTCCGAAGGGCTTAGGCGACCCGTCCTCCTCCTCCTCCCTCCTCCTCCTCCTCCTCCTCTCTTCCTCCTCCTCTCCTCCTCCTCCTCCTCTCTCCCTCCTCCTCTCCTCTCCTCCTCCCTCCTCCTCCTCTCCTCCTCCTCTCCTCCTCCTCCCTCTCCTCTCATCTCCTCATCTCTCCTCCTCCTCCTCTCCTCCTCCTCCTCCTCCTCCATCTCCTCCTCCCCTCCCCCTCCTCCACCTCTCCTCCTCCTCCTCTCCTCCTCCTCTCGTCTCCTTTCCCTCTTCCTCCTCCTCCTCCTCCTCCTCCTCCTCGCCTTCGGCCCCGGGGGAAACCGTGCATTGGCACCTGTGCAATTGTCCTCATTTTCGGCGCCCCCTGGAAGGTCCAGCGCGGGGGGGCATACGCGCACCCGGGCTGGACCTCGCGGCTCGGTGCGGGTGCTACACCCTGCGCAGCCGTTGCCACCTTCGTGGGCTTCTGTCGGGAGGCCCAGTGCCTTGGGGACATGCGCGCTCTCCTGGATTCGGCCTCGTGGCTCCGTGGGAGAGTTGCTGCCTTGAGGGGCTTGTTCTCCGCCACAACCACCAGAAACTGTAGGAGGAGGAGGAGGAGGAGGAGGAGGAGGAGGAGGAGGAGGAGGAGGACCCCCTCCCCCTCCTTCTTATGGTGGTGGCGGGGGGAAGCAAGCCCACCACACCTCCGCAAGCGTCGCCCACGGGCGACGGCCAGTCAGGGGACGGAGCGTGCGTGCGCGCGCGTGGCGCGCGGCGCTGTTGCAGCACGGAACGCAGGGCGCTGTGGCGCCACGTGGCGCGTGGCGCTGTCTTCGGCTGCCGGTTTGTCCCCCCCCCCAGTTGAGATTATTATGTCTAGGACCTGTTAGGCATGTTGTCCCACTAAGCCCGAACAGATAGTAATAACATGTGTTCCCTGGGCTAGAGTCAGATCGTACTGTGAATACTGTCATTAGTTCACGTAGCATCCGTTTATTGAACTTAACCTTTCCCAGTTTCAGGATTTTCATCAGAATCTGGAGTCCCCCCCCCTCCTCAGCTGCCTGCCGCCCGCAGCATCAGCAGGGGGGAGCCAGTCATCTGCTGCAGCACAGGGCGCTGCTACGCGGACCAGTATGTTTATATATCCCTTCCTTCTCGATCCTCCTCGTCTTCTTCCTCTTCCTCTTTCTCCATTTCTGCCCCTCGTTCTATAGTCCTTGTCTCGCACGTCTTCGTCGTCGATGCCGTCGCCGTCGTCGTCGTCGTCGTCGTCGTCGTCGGACCTTCTGCTTTTCGAGTTGCGCTGGTGTGTCACGTGCGTGGCCCGACGTTGTTTGGCGAAGATTTTTGGGGTGCTGCGTATGTCGCAATGTGTTCTTGTGCTTGGGGCGCTCATCTAGTAGTCGTCTTGCATGGAGAACGGGTTGGGTACGTCTCGGGTAATTTCAATACGCTTGCGGGTTGGTGGATCGCGCGGGGGCGGGGGGGGAGGGGGGCGAATGGGTTGTCTTGCGCGGGACGTGGGGCGTGTGGACTGCCGGGGGGGGTGTTCACGCGTAGGGGGGTCGGACTGGAGCGAGGTCCATACGTGCTTACTCTTTGAATATTGGGGAGTTTCGGGTTGGAGTCGAGCGTTTTTTCCTCAGGCCCTCCTGTGTGTTGGGTCCTCGCTTTAACTGCGCAGCGCCGCGCCCCGCCTCCCCCTCCTCCTCGTCGGCCTCCTCCTCCTCCTCCTCCTGCTCCTCCTCCTCCTCCTCTCTCCTCCTACTCCTCCTCCTCCTCCTCCTCCTCCTCCTCCTCCTCCTCCTCCTCCCCATCCTCTTAAATAGCGGCAATGGCCCCAGAGGCTGCTGTCGCATGGCGGCTTTCGGTCCGATCCGGCACAACCCCACACGTTTCCAGGCCCCCACGGGGAACTCCGCCGAAGGCTCCGGAGGCTGTTGTTGCATGGCGGCCTCGGGCCTCGGGGCAGCACACCCCTCGCATGCTTCGTGGCCACACAGGGAGCTCCTCTGAAAGCCCCCATACTGTCCGTGACCCATAGAAAGATCCACCGAATGCTCCAGCGTGAGCGATCGCACGCGGGTTCCTCGCCAATGTCGGTACGCTCTTCAAGCGTTTCGTGTCCACATATGGAGCTTCACCGATGGCCCCAGTGGCTACGGTCGCAAGGCGGCCTCGGACACATTTTGGCACTCGTTTGTTGGCACCATCGGGGCTTCCACCGAAGGGCCACAGTGGGTGAGGTCGCATAGTGGCTTCGGGTTTATGTTGGCCCCCCACACGTCTCGTGACCCAATGAGAGCCTCCGCTGACGACCCCAGTGGCTGCGGTTGCATGATGGCCTCGGGTCCATTTCGCCACGTTCTCACCCGTTTAGTGGCCCGATGATGAGCTCCACTGGAAGTCCCAGTGGCTGCTGGCCTGTTCATAGCCGTCACATGCAAACATGGGGGCTGGGCTCCTCGCTGGGGTAAGTGTATGCTTTATCAGCGTGCACAAGCTTCAGCCATTACTCGAATCTGCATTGGCTATACCAGGTAGAGGCTTTTTTGGCATCGTGCGTTCTCCAGAATATTCCCAACGCTCTTGGATTGCATGGCTGCTGCTCCGTCGGATTTATGTTTTTTTCACATGTCAGTTTGTCACAGCACAATGCGCATGCTCCATGGTTGGCCAACGCAGAAAAAGAGGTGCGAGGAGAAGGAGGAGGAAAAGGAGGACAATGAGGAGGAGGAAAAGGAGGAGGAGGAAGAAGAGCAGCAGGAGGAAAAGGGTGATGATGACGATGACGATGACGACGACGACGACGACGACGACGACGACGACGACGACGACGACGACGACGACGACGACGATGACGATGATGATGATGATGATGATGATGATGATGATGATGATGATGATGATGATGATGATGATGATGATGATGATGCTGGTGATGATGATGATGATGATGATGATGATGATGATGATAATGATGATGATCGTGCTGCTGCTGGTGATGATGATGCTGATGCTGATGCTGATGAGGATGACGAGACTGATGAGGATGACGAGGGTGATGCTGCTGCTGATGATGCTGATGCTATTGTTGTTGATGATTGTGGTGCTCATGATGATGAGGATGCTGGTGATGATGGTGACGATGACGATGACGATGACGATGATGGTGATGCTGATGATGCTGATGATGATGACGCTGATGATGAGGACGATGACGATGGCGATGACGATGACAATGATGATGGTGCTGCTGATGATGATGATGATGATGAAGATCATGGGAGGGAGAAGTGAGTGAACTGTGGGGGGAGGTGGGACGAGAGAAGTTGTTGTTGATGGCGGGGGGATGAAGTTTGAGGACTTGGAGTGGCGGGTGGGAGGCTAGCGAGCTACGCTTGGATCAACTCTAACGTAAATGCAGCACCTCTGGCCAATCCGTTCTCATTGCGTTAATCCTTGTCTTTCCGCCACGGGGGATGACGAGGAAGAGGAAGTGGGTTGAGGGATGAGGGATGACATATGCAGGAACGACGGGGAGGCGAAGGGCGAGGAGGCAAACGAGGAAAGGAAACGCATGACGAGGAGAGTGGCCAGGCGGGCAGGAATGGCGAGCCAGGCATGCACCAGGTTGCCGATGTGACGGCGCCATTCCGACTGACCGAATGCGCCCCCAGATCGGACAAGGCACACGCTCCCAGCCCCTTATGCCAGAGAGCGCCAACACTATACTTACACACGTTCCTGGCCAGGCCAATCCCCGTCCCAGGATCGGTGCTTGTGCAGTCCCTGCCAACCCAGGATTAGCGGGCCCAGGCTTCTCCTGACAAGGGCCCGTATAGGCGTGAAGTTATCGTTCGACTCCAGTCCAGGTCATTCAGAATGGTGGTGTAAACGGGTGCCAAGCATTTTGTACGCGCTAAGTCAGGTACGTTTGGACCGTTCCGATGGTATTGCATCCTTGTATCAATCCTTATCGCTGATTCTGCTTGTGGCCATGGTCGCTTTCATGTGTCGTCTTGTGGGCGCGGAAATCTGCAGCCCAACTTCGCCTCTTTGAAATGGCGTGTCCCGGCGTGTGCTCTGTGCGTCTGGCCACAGTCTGCCCGCGGTAACCAGGGCCTAGGCACTGCACCGCGAGGATGTGATGCGTTGAGCTTCGGCTGTCCGCGCCCCCCTTCCTTTTTCTTCCCGCCCCCTCCCCAAAAGAGTCTTGTCTCCCGCTTCTCCTCGAGTTGACAGACGGCGCCGCGGGCAGTCAGCAAGCTGACAGGCCGCAGTCAGTGTGCAGCGGGCTCGGGAGGACTCAGTGTGGCAGTCTGCGGTGGAAGAACTTTTGATTCGCGCTCGCAGCTGATACTGCTCCCCTCCTTTATCACCAATCAAGTGTATTCATCCATCCCTCGCCACCTCTTCTGTTTCACATGGTCATCGTTCCCACGTGCCTAGACCTAGTCCGCCTTCGGGCCAAGTGTAGATTGCCCAGCTGTAATGTGCGACCTGTGCTTGAGGTCTGTCAGGCGCCGCCAGCAATGCGAGGCGCGCAACTGCACGCCGCTCCTCAGCCAGGTAACAGAAAAAGGTACCCCTGGACCGACGAGGCAAAGAACACGGGAAGCATAACCCAGAACCAGAGGGTGCAGCGGCCCCTTGCCTCAAAGGCTCATCCGTACACCCAATCGGGCCCGTTGCGGCGCCCGAGGTGTCTGCCGCGGCACCCGCGGCGGCAACCGCGGCACCCGCGGCAACCGCGGCACCCGCGGCGCCCGCGGCGGCCCCCGCGGCGGCGGCGGCCGTGGCACCCGCGGCGGCGGCGGCCGCGGCACCCGCGGCAGCGGCGCCCGCGGCACCGGCGGCGGCGCCCTTGGCAGCCCAGGCGGCGCAGAGGGGCAGCAAGGGCAGGGTGGCAGAGGGGCAGCATGCGTGCAAGGGGGGGCTGCATGCTCCCCGTGGGCCGTGTCGCGGCGTCTGCCGCCGCGGGGTTGGCGCCCTCTCTCTCTCTGTCTCTGTCTCTCGTCATCTCTTTCTCTCTCACTTGCGCTCTCTCTCTCTCTCTCTCTCTCTTCCTTCCTTCTTTATTTCTTTCTCTGTCTCTGTCTCTCTCTCTCTCTCTCTTTATCTTTATCTCTCTCTCTCTCTTTTTTTTGTTTCTCTCTCTCTCTCTGTCCCCTAGCTTCGGCTCGAGAGCTTTGCTCAGAGCGAGCCCAAGCGCCACGCGCCCCGCATCCTCTCTTGCCTCTAGCAGCAGTCTCACATCTACGAACAAAGCGATCGACGCAAGGCACACGCTCGTGACCAGCTCTTCTGTCGTCTGCGACCAGCACCTCGACGTTGCGCAGCACCCGCGAAGCGAGCACAGCGATTATGTCGGGCGTGTCCCCCTACGGGTGATTTTCGACGAAAAATGAAAAATACACTAAACATGCCCCCCCAAAGGCCAAAAAACATCCAAAACATAGTCCCCAGACTATTTTTTGGAGCATTTTTTATTATTTTTGGGGTATTTTTTATTCTTCGTCGAACATCCCCCTGTAGGGGGACAGGCCCGACTGAACACAGCGACGCCGAGCAGCGCGACGGGACGGCACGGCAGCACGCGCGATGCACACGCTGCGCGCGGGGCACGCCGGCAGCGCGACGGGGCGGCACGCTGTGCACGACGCCGAGCGTGCGGTGGGACGGCACGGGGCGCCCCTGGGAGGCGGGGGGGCCGCCGGGAGCCAGCCCCGGGCGCCAGGCCACCGACCGCGCATGTTGGGAGCGGAAAAGAGGGGGGTGATGACTAGGGGGGGGTGGATATCATGGCGTGGGCCATGATATTTCCCCAGATTTCATGGCACCTCTTCTTATTTCATTACGTCCCTGGCCCCCCCGCTGGGCCGCGCAAATGCCGCCGGTCATGATTTGCACCCCCCCTCTTGGACACCCCCCTCTTGGCCGCTCCCGAGCATGCTACCCTCTGCACGAACGAGATGGGCACGGAAAGAATGGGTACGATGCCCAACCGCGGATCCTGTTCATTTCGAACAGGATCCGCTGTCCACGCCGCCGCGGCCTGTGTCCATTCGAGGCAGAAGGCCGCCTGCCCAGCAGCGGCCGCTGTTGATTTGGGGCAACATTTGTTGTTGGGCATTGTACCCATTCTTTCCGTACCCATTTCGGGCGTCCAAATGCACGGGGGCTCGACCGCTCGGATCGTGGCGCAGCCCCTGTCGTCCCTCCCTCGTCCTCGCCGCGGCCGCGCAGGCACGGGGCGCCGGTGCCTCCGGAGGCGGGTGGCCACCACGACCCCGCCCCAGGCGCCGACGAGCCGAGAGAGGGCCCGCGCGGGGCCGGCGATGGGTCGCGGGGTAGGCCCGCAGGTGTGACAGCGCCGCCGCCACAGCCCGGATGGGCTGGACAGCGCTGCCTGCCGCACGCCCAGGCCTTCAGCGCGGCGCACTCGGCCATCGGGCCGTAGCCGCGTCCCGCCGGGGCACGGGGCCGCGCGGCCCCGGCGCCAGCCACCAGGGCGAAAGGCATCCGGGTGGCTCCAGTGCAGACCACTGAGCGGAGTCGTGCCGCGCAGCGCCTCGCGGTTGCCCGTCCATCCGCCGACCGTGATCGTGGGACTGCGCTCACAGCCGGCAGCGCGACGCTAATTGCGTCGGTGTGCCACCAGCCTTGCTCATATCCTGCGTACCACCCGGGAATAGCTAGGACCCCGTCTTGACCTCATCCACAGAGCACAGACCGCCTGGAACGACCATCATCAGGCCTTCCGTTCGCCTGCTCACCTCGGGGCCTCGCCCCAGGCAGGGCACCGTGCGCGCCTCGATGCTCACCGCTGGCACACCAGTTCTCGCCCATGTTCTGAAGGGCGCTGCGTGAGCTGCTGGCAACGTCTCTGTAGTTCTGGTGCTGGGCCGCTGCGGGGGATGCCCCAAAGCGGAGCCTTGGTTCACTGAGGTACCGGGGCGCGCATGCCGACGCGCGCTTGCAGCCTCCGCCCGTTTTTTCGGGTGTGCAGACGGGCCCTTGGGTGGCCTGCTCACCACAGACCCGCTCTGCTTTTCAGTCGGCGTCGCAGAGGCCGCGCCAGGAGGAGGGCAGCTTCCATCCCCTGTTCTCATGGTGGCGCCCGCCGCTCCCTCAGGCGATCGGCTTGCACAGCCCCGACTCGCTCAGGGGCCTGGACCAGACCTGGTCCGAACTGGTGCGCCATCGCCGCGGCGAATCGTCACGCAGCGAGCGACTAGAGTCAGGCGATCGCAGACGTGGATCAGAGGGGGCGTGGATTGGCGACGGGTCCCGTTTCCATGGGCAATCGCGGATTTCCGCCGCCGAGCGGAGGCGGCACGGGCCGCATCTCGGGGAGGGCACCTCCCCCGATCCGTGTTTGCGCGCCCCCGGTGGTGGTCGGAGTGTTCCGCGGAGTGCCAGATGGCACTGCGTCGGCGGGCGAGAGTCCGCTCGCCCGCATCCGAGCGGTGCGGAAGGCTGGCTACGTCCTCCTCAACTTGTGCGTCGCATGGTTTATCCTCCCCCCTCTGGATCGGAGCGGGTTCGCGGGGGGTCTCTGGTGAGGCCCACCGGCACCGCGAGCTCAGAATCAGTTTTTCTGGAAGTTCCAGAGGGCGGGATGCGCCTGGGCAAACCATGGCCCAGAATGGGGATTCTTTTTCTTCTACGCATGCAAAAAACATGCGATCGACGCCCCGCAGGCCGCGATCCCAGGTGCAGTGCCGTTTTTGATACATGCTCCGCGTGCGGATCATGTATTTCAAATGCAGGGATTTTGTACTACAAACAACGATGAGCTCAGGTTAGTCATGTATTAAGCATCCGACATGTTTAAACATCCCATGTCTTAAAACCTGCCCTGTGCATAAAAAGCATGCGATCGACGCCCCGCAGGCCGCGATCCCAGGCAAGAGCCACAGGATCCTCCAGGGGCGCCCAGGCGCTCCCAGGCGCTCCCCCGGGCGCTCCACAGGCGGCCCCCAGGCGTTCCCCGGGCGCTCTCGCGGACGCTCCCGGGCGCTCTCCCGGGCGCTCCCGGGCGCTCTCACAGACGCTGTCGGGCAGCGCCGGGGCGCTCCCGGGGCGGCCCCCAGGCGCTCCCCAGACGGCCGAGGATGTGCCCGAGCCCCTCCATCGGGGGCCGCACGCGAACCCTACCCCTAACCCCGCACGATTTCTGAGGGGGAGGGTGGGGTTCACTAAAACTCTGGAATTTAGAAAGCGGAAGACGTTGTGGATGCAACTCGGGGGTCAGGGGGCCAAGCTGAAGCCAAAAACTTACCATTGGAAAAAGCCGATCTGGGATACACGAGGATGTGCCCGAGCCCCTCCAGACGCTCCAGGAGCGCCCAAGCGCTCCTCCGCCTCCCTCCAGGTGCTCCTCGGGCCGCCGGGAGTCCCCAGACCTCGGGCGCTCCCAGGCGCTGCAGGAGCGCCTGGGCGGCTCCCAAGCAGCCCCAGGGGCTCCCCAGGAGGCCCCAAGGTGCTCCCAGGCGCTCCCGGGCGCCCCCGCGCGCTCGCAGGCGCTCCTGGGCAATCCCAGTGCACCGCCCCCCCTTTCAAGAGGGGCTGCGTGGGGGGTCGCGTTCGGAAAGCAGCAATTCTTTCTCGGGCGCAGCCGAGGCAGGGTGGGGGGGCTGGGACACGGGCATCGCGAATCAGCCCCCGCAATCCGTTGGGGGGGATGCGTGCGCGCATTTCTCGTAAGGTCTCTTTTTTTGTTTCTCTTTGTTTCTCTTTTTCTCTCTCTCTCTCTCTCTTTAATTTGTTTTTCTCTCTTGCTCTCGGTCCCTCTTTTTCTTTTACCTCTTTTTCTATCCCCCTCTTTCTCTCTTTATTTTGTGTGTTCACTCTGTCTCTCTCTGCAGGCGAGTCGTTGGTGTCAGATGGCTGCGAGTGGGCCCAGTGTCAGACATTGCATTGCACGCCTGGCCCGCGGGCCGCAGGAAGAGAGAGAGAGAGAGAGATATACAGGAGAGAAAGAGAGAGAGAGAGAGAGAGAGAGAGGAAGAGAGAGCGAGAGAGAGGGAGGGACAGAGAGAGAGAGAGAGAGAGCGAGCGAGCGAGAGAGAGAGAGAGAGAGAGAACGAGCAAGATATAGAGAGATAACCAGTGACGACCAGAGGGAGCGGCTACGGAAGCGACGTGGCTGCAGCCGGGATCGCCCGAAAAACGGCTCGGCCTCGGGGGGGGGGGGCGGGGCCCGCGGCGACGCGGGGCGAGGCGCCCCGGAGCGAGAAGCGCCCCGGCGCCCCGCTGGCCGAGCGCGCGCAGCAGCAGAGGGACCCCCGGGCGCGGCGCGCGGGGCGCGTGCGCCGTCGCCCGTCGCCCGTCGCCGCTGCCGCCGCCCGCCGCCGCCGTCGTCGTCGTCGTCGCCGGCGGCGGCCCGCGCCTCGTGCAGCCACGCCGCGTGCATCGCGCGCCGCGCGGGGCGCGAAGTCCGGTGGCCTGATCTGGGCCACTGCACGCCCAGAAGGTCGGTGGCGTTCTGAAGCTGGAGCTGAGACTAGGCATTCGGGGGCGGCCAGGAGGGGGGTGATGACTAGGGGGGGGGGGGCGACATCATGGCGTGGGCCAGGAGATCTCCCCAGGTGCCTCGGCGTCGGCTGCTCGTGCGGCGGCGGGCCCCTAGGTTCGCGTCCTCTCGGCGGCGCGCACAGGGGGGGGCAGGGCAACCGGGGGGCGGCTTTCCTTTCCGGCAGGGCGGGGGGCTTCTCAGAAGAGGACCGGTGGGTTCAGGAGGGAAAAAAACACACAGACACAATTAATCGCCGATTCCCCAGAAAATAGGGAAAAATATGGGAATTGGGCGGGAAGGCAAAAAACCAGACAATATGGGAAGATATGGGGAACAAGTTTAGTTGTGTGTATGTATTTGTGTGCCCCAGGGCCCCTTCATGGGTTCTGTCACAGCGTTTCAGAAACCAGGATGGTTACGAAAACACTTGGAGGAGGAGGAGGAGGAGGAGGAGGAGGAGGAGGAGGAGGAGGAGGAGGAGGAGGAGGAGGCTTTGTCTTTTCAGAAAGCCACCCCTTCGCCCAACACCCCTTGTGGGCACCCCGTTGCAGGGGCACCGACGGGCTAAGCCACGACCGTGGCAGGCCCACACCAGAGAGTGCAGCCTCGACAGGAGGGAGGCCTCGACCTCCGGGCCGGGCAGGTCGGGGAACTGTTTCGACTGCCTGGCTGCAGCAAGTCGTTTTGCTGCCCCTATCAAGTGGCCTGTGGGTCGAGGAGGGGAGGAGGAAAAGGAGGAGGAGGAGGAGCAGGAAGAGGAGCAGGAGGAGGAAGAGGAGGAGGAGAAGGAGGAGGAGGAGGAGGAGGAGGACAACGAAGAAAAGAACGAGGATGAACAGGGGTGGTATTTAGGAGGAAGAGCAGCAGGAGGAGTTGGAGGAGGAGGAGGAGGAGGAGGAAAGGGAGGAGGAGGAGGAGGTAGGAGAGGAGGAGGAGGAGGAGGAGGAGGAGGAGGAGGAGCAGGAGGAGGAGGAGGAGGAGGAGGAGGAGGAGGAGAAGGAGAACCGAGATCGATTTGCTCAGTGTGAAACATCGACCCCCCCCGCCCATCCATCGCCAATCGGGGCTGCGGTGCCCCACCGCGTCCAGCAGCGTGCAGCTCCGCTGTCTGGGTCCCACCGCCGATCTATCCACGTCGCCTCAAGGTTGGTATCCCCCCCAGAAGGCAGGCCACCCTTTCGGACCCCTTCGAGCAGAGGGAGAGTTTAGCAGTCTCCCGTGTCAGTTGCACTCCGCGCGCGCGCGCGCCCTATTCCCCAGGCTCCTCTTCCTTCTTTCTCATCGGCGCTGTCGCCACGCACCCCTCACGCGCGTATCGTGCCGCATGGACAGCTTCAAACAGGGCCCCTGTGATGGCCTCCCGCAGACGGTATCCCCGCCGTCTTGGAGCACCGCTTACAAGGTTGGTACCCCACAGGAGGCCCTTCACTTCATGTTTCCCAGTGAGGGCGCCTGCGTGTTGGATTCCATCCGTTTCGGAGTATCGCCCACACGCTTCGTGCCGCACCATTTAGGTTTCCAGTGAGTTCGCCCGCATGCTGTATCTCCACCGTTTCGGCACACCGCTCACACGGGTCCTGCCCCACGAGGGGGCCCCGACAAGGGCACTGCTGAGGTCAAAAACATATGTGGATCAAAGTCGTTTCGGCGAACCCTTCGACGAACCCTTTATGCATTTCGAGCTCCACAAGGGGGCTCGTATTCAGGCCTCAGTGACAGGGCACCTGCATTTTGTATCAGTCAACTCTGCTATCCATGCTCCCCATCCGGCGTGAAGTTCTCAATCAGGCGCCGGCCCTCATTTTTCGCTCATGGTTGGCCTTCCAGCTCAGCTGGTGCTCAGCTGGTGCGCCAGCTCGGCGTGGTGCGTCTGAGTGTGAGGTTGTGTATCTGGTTTGCGTATCTGCAGGTCTTTGCCTCCCGTGCCTCCTTGCATAGCTCAGAGCCCCGAATCATCAGGGGTAGCTCAGGTCAGGGCGAACTCGGGTTCGTCTTTCGGGAATCCGAACCCGAGTTGCCCCGGGCCCGAGTTAACCCGGATAGTTCGGGCGTCCAGAGCCCCAAATCATCAGGGGTAACTCGGGTCAGGGCTGACTCGGGTTCGTTTTTCGGGAATCCAAGCCCGAGTTACCCCGGGCCCGAGTTTCCCCGGATAACTCGGGCGCCCAAATAGCTGCCTCCAGCAATTCCACCGACGTGCCGCGGTGCAGCATTCTGGATGGCGACTATTCGAGGGAAAGGGGAGGGCGCCACGTGTGACACCTTGGGCCTCTCGAAGGCCCTGGGGGCTTGTTTTAAGTCGGGCCTGTCCCTCTACAGGAGGAATATCCAAACATAGTCAAACATAGTCAGGGGACGTTTTTTTTTGTGTGTGTGTATTTGGTATTTTGGGTATTTTTTGAGTGTGTCTTTCATTTCTCGTTCAAAAATTCGCCTGTAGGAGGACATGCCCGACCTGAGGCGTGTTCGGTGCCTCCCGGGAACTCTTGGCAGCGTCCGGGGGGGCACCCCGGAAGCTCCTTGGGGCCTCCTCGGGCCGTCCGAGGGAGGGCGTTCTTGAGCCGTCTGGGCGCTTTCGGAATCCGTCTTGCGGGAGGTCGTGGGGCCCTCCAGCTTCCTCCAGCCTCCTCCAGCCTCCTCCTCCTCCTCCTCCTCCTCCTCCTCCTCCTCCTCCTCCTCCTCCTCTTGAGGACCTCGAGGGCCGTCTGAGGGCCCCCTTGGGCCGACTTTGGGTCCTCTTGGAGCCATCTTGGGCCTTCTTGGGGCCCTCTCGAGGCCCTCGTGGGGCCGTCGTGGGGCCGTCTTGGAAGCCGTCCCGGGCCAACGAGAGCCGGAACAGGCGAGAACGCGGAAGTCCATCAACACAGCTTTGGAACATCCATGATCTGGGCCTCTTCAGGCCTTCCTGGGGGTTCTCCGGGAGCCCTCTCGGCCCGTGCTGAGGACCTCTTGGGGGCCGTCATTCAAGCAGTGGCGAAGCGCCCTGGCGTGCTTAGAGGCCTACCACAGAATGTTCAAAGAACTTTTTGTGGTTTCCACGAGATGTTAGAACATTTCTGGCTGGGACTGTCTCGTCGGAACATATCGGGCTCATGTTGTAAGAACATTGTTTTGGTTCTTGGAACATTTTTGGGTTCTAAGAACATTTCGCGGTAGGCCTATAGAAATGCCGGGACGGTCGGTCCCTGCTCAAGTCGGGGCCATTTTGGGGGCCGTCTCGGGACCGTCTCGGGCCTTGCTGGTGGCCCTGGTGGCTTGGTCTGGGCCCTCTCGGCAGGGTCATCGTGGGCATCCCTGGAGGCTGCGGAGCGCGTCGGGGACGCGTCGGGCCGCCCAGGGAGCCCTCGGCAGGGGAGGGGGCAGTGCACGGGAGGGCGTGCCGGGAGTTTTTTTGGGTTATTTGTTTTTTAGTAAAAAATCACGTTTTCTTGTTTAATATTGAATATGTATATACACATAAGTATACATCTTTAACCATGATAAGCCAATTATATTTACATGCGAATAGGTAGTTCTAATCTGAGTATATCAAATTTTATTGAACAGCGAACAAACAACACATACAGAAAACATGCTACGCAGCACTTGTCATTCTACCACGCGTCAAGCTGCCAGGGGGCGCGGTGGCGGATTGTGCCCGATGCCATCGCCGGTCCTGTGCCGTCTCTGGTTTTCCAGGAGAAGAAGAAGGAGAAGAAGATCAAGAAAGAGAAGAAGGAAAAGGCGAGCGCATTCGCATGACTCATTCCAGAGCGATGCGGAATTGCTGTGCATGCGATGTTTCCCAGATGCAGAGCGCATCACGTCTCTGTTTTCCTGTGAGGGGATTGCTGAAGGCAGGTTCTGACCTTGGGACCCGAGTGGTGTCTGATAAGAGGAGAGGGCGCGACGGATCGAAGGAGAGGGCTGGAGGACGGGAGTGCGGGAATTATGAACGCATAGGGGCTCGAGCGAGATGCAGAGAGAGAGAAGGTACAGAGAAGCAGACACATCATACATGCTTGTTTTGCTTATGCCCCCGTGCACCAACACGTAAGGGGATTCTCCTCTCTGCCCGACGTCTCTGGCCATTTCGGCTCAGGCGCTCGGCCGTTTTTGGACAGCGGCTGGGCGAAGATGCCGACCCTTGGGTCGTGCACCCTCGACGCCGCGCGGCGGCGGGACAGCAGGGTCCAGCAGGGATGTGGCCCCCCTGGCTCAGGTCTGGCGCTGCAGGCGGGGGCGAGCCCGAGTTCGAGGACACTCTTGTCCAGGTGGCTGCGGCCGCGGAGCCCAGCGTGAAGGAGGCACGGGTCCCGCTGCAGGAGCTCGTCGACCGAGCGGTGGGCCAGGAGCCGCTGCAGAAGCGGCTGCGAGTGCCCCAAGGCCGCCCCGAGCAAGCCACGATGGAGGACGCCGTGGCGAGTGTCTCGGCCGCGTGTGACCGGCAGCGGCGTGAGGCCGTTCCCCCGCCAGGGTCCAGCGCGCCGGCAGCAACCCGCCACGCGCGGACGTGCCGCGCCGCGGGCGAGGAGAGTCGCGGCGAGGTGGAGGCCTCGGGAGCGGGCTGGCTGGAGGCCTCGCCTGCCCCAGCTCCTCGGCGAGACGGAGACGCCCTCGCTGGGGGTGGCGCGGTCCTGCATGGACCCGGGGCGGGCGCTGGATGGCATCGCGGGCCGCGCGCGCCTCGCCACAGTGAGGTCGCACGTGCGTGCGAGCGAGACGCTGCGCAGATAGTTCCTGCGCGGGCACAGCATCCCGTGGCCGAAAACCGTCGTGCGTATCATCGGCTACGTGCGCGCCAGGGCTGCGGAGCCGGCCCCCCGAAGAAGAGCTCTCGACGATTTCCCTGGGATCGCCGACCCCGTCGTCGCGAACAACGTCATCGATGGTTGGGCTAGAGTCGCGGGGTTTCCCGAGGTCCCTCGTCATCTAATACATAAGGAGGGGCCGAGGGTGATCTACAAAGGGCCATAGCGGTTCATCGAACACATCGGGCTGAAGGAGGGGGTGCCATGCTATGGGTATTGCGTCGTGTGGCCAAGAACCCCCAACATCATTACCATCGTCACCTCTTCCTGCTCGACGACTTCGGGGTCTGTTGCTGTTTCGATAGGGGTCGGTCTCCATCGCATTGTATGTTGCAGCTAAACCGTCGCCTCGCGGCTCTGACTCTGGCCGCGAACATGGGGCCGCACTTCCGGTGGATCCCGTCGGAAAGGCAGCCAGCTGACGAAGCCTCGAGGTCCTTCGAGGGCTTCTCTCTGGTGTATGCTGGGCCCGTTGAGCGCGGCTGGGCGCGACGCCTCGGCCGCGCTGCCGCGGGAGGGCATGGCCCGCGCGGCCCTGCCGAGCTCCGCGACCCCAGCCCCCAAGAGGCGGCGGCTGGCGGGGCCCCCCGCCAAGGGCGGACCCCCGGCGCGGGTCCCGCCCCTGGCCGCCAGGCGGTCCCCCGTCAAGCGGCCCGCGGCGTGTCGGAGGCCTTCGGCGTGTCCAACCCTGGTGCCCGCGCGGGCGCGGCCGGCGGCAGCGGCGGTGGTCCAGCTCCCTCGGCTGCACGCGCGGCTTGCCGAGGCCCTGGAGCCTGGCCGCAGGAACCCAGCCTCGTCCGCGGCGGCCTCCATGTGCGAGCAGGCCTCGGTGGCCGCCGGGGCGCGCGTCGGCTACAAGGCGTACTCCGACGCGTTCGACGAGTTCTGGGCGAGGACGGCAGCGTGCCGACGACCATCGAGGACATGCGGGTCCGCGTGCTGCAGTTCATCGACGTCATGCTGAAAGCGGAGCGCGCCAAGTCCGACGCGACCAGCTTGGTGGCCGCGGTCAAGGGCCCCTACCCGTGGTGCACGGGCTCGCAGTCGATGCCCCGCGCGAACAGGGAGCTCCGCGGCTGCGCCACGCGCAGGCCGCCACTGTCCCGAGCCCGCATCCCCCGCGAGCTCCTTGGAGCAGCGGTCTCCACGATGCTCGCGCGGAGGCAGCGGAGCGCCGCCCTCCAGGTTGCGACGATCTTCTTAACGTACATCCTTCCCTGGGAAGGCGCCGACGGACCTGATCTTCCCACGCATGTTCGTGGGAAGGCGCCGACGGACCTGATCTTCCCCGCGCCCGGGGCGATCGTCGCGGCCCAGTTCGGGGTCGCAGCAACGATGTGCGGCCTCCCCCGGGCCTGCCTGCGCCAGCTCCGCCACGGGGGCGCATCGGGCGACGTCTGGTCTGGACGGCGGGACCGCGAGACGGTGAAGGCCAGGGGCCACTGGAGAGCCGACGCGTCTATGAATCGGTGCGGCAAGCCAGGAGTGGTGCACCAGCTGCTCAACGCGAAGACGGCCGCCTCCAGGGAGTTCGAAGAACAGATGTTCGAGGTGATGGGGTCCCCGTTCCTGGGCGCGTTCGAGGCCGAGCCCGTCCCCTTTTGAGCAGGGCCATCCCCGGTTCCTTTTCAGTCTGCGGAGACGGGGGCCCACGGGGCGGCCTCGTCCTCGCTCCCAGCCATTTTCGGTTAGGTCAGATTGTTGCGGAGCTTATGGCTGGCAGCCGTGGCGTCAGTAAAGCTTGTGAAAGCGTCGGCTTTCTCCACCGGGAGCTGGGAAATCAGTGACTCGGCCTTCGAGGATTGCCAACGCTGTGAAGTGATGTTCTGTTTGCGGTCAGCCGCCGCTCTTGGCGGGCTGGCCCTTTGCTGAATTGGCCTTGCGCGTGCTTCCCCGTCCCGGGCCCGCCGAAACCGATCTGGTAAGAAAGGCTGGCCTGCACCAGTCCGTGATCGCGAGCACCTCCTCGGCCTCCCGTGCCTCTCCTCCGCCGATCGGCTGAGGGTCTTGGAGGGTAGCCGCCAAGCAAGATGGGCTGCCGTTTTTTTTTTTTTTTTTTTTTGTTTGAGACGCTCTCTCGGATCGGCGTCCCGTGTGTGATTGAGAACCCATCTTCGAGCATGTTGTGGTATCTCGCTCGATATAAGCAGTTGCTCAGCAAGTGTAGCTCAGTTCAGATTGACTACTGTGCCTTTGGCACGCACTACAGGAAGCGTGCCATCTTGCTCTTCTCTCATCTGCCCTTGGAGGAGCTCGCAGGTGCCCGGTGCGCGAGGAGGAATGGTCTGTGCTCGTTCTCGTGCACGGGTCACACTGAACTAGCAGGGAGCACCCTGGACACAAAAAACACACCCGGGTCGCCTCCGCCTATTTCCCCCCAGCTCTGCCTCCACATTGCCCGTCTTTTGAGTCGTTTCTCGCCCTCCGCCCCAGTAATTACATGATATGGGCAAGGGTCTTGATGCGGACGAGGTCCGCCGATTGTTGTCATCGTGTGATTTAGAACCCCCTATACATAGTTAGATCAAGCCGTGCTGCGTCTGCTGCAAAGATAGCCCACCCCGCCCACGCTAATGGTTCTGTGTGCAGGGTCGTGAGTGCGAGGGGTTGGTTTGGAATTGCGTTCTCTCGACTGCTTGCACTGCAATCATCTGGTTCACAGGTCCTCTTTGTGTCTCCCCCCTCCCTCCTCTCTGCGCGCTGTGGTGTTGATGTGGACGAGGTCCACAGATTGCTGCAATCGTGTGATTTAAAGCCCTGTTTTAAATCGTTACATCAATCCGTGATTCGTCTGTCGCAAAGACAGCCCACCCCGCCCACGCTCATGGGTGTTATGGTGTAGAAGTAGTGGTGGCATTGGTCCCGCCCGCCGCCCGACCCGCCCGCCCGTTAGGGTCCGCCCGCCCGACCCGCCGCCCGAAAGTTAGGGTGCTGCGCGTGCTACCTCGATTATTGGTGATACCTGAATGTCCCGCCCGCCCGACCCGCCGCCCGCCCGCCCGTTAGGGTCCCGTCCGCCGCCCGACCCGCCAGCCCGTTAGGGTCCGCCCGCCCGACCCGCCAACCGCCAGTTAGAGTGCCACGCGTGTTACCTCGATTATTGGTGATACCTGAATGTCCCGCCCGCCCGACCCGTCGCCCGCCCGCCCGGTAGGGTCTCGCCCGCCGCCCGATCCGCCCGCCCGGTAGGGTCCGTCTGCCCGACCCGCCGCCCGCCCGTTAGGGTGACACGCGTGCTACCTCGATTATGCGGCATACTTTAATGTCCCGCCCGCCCGACCCGCCGCCCGCCAGTTAGAATGACGCGCCTGTTACCTCGACTGTGCGTCATACTGTAATGTCTCGCCCGCCCGACCCGCCTCCCGCCCGCCCGTTGGGGCCCCGCCCGCCGCCCGACCCGCCGCCCGTTAGGGTCCGCCCGCCCGAACCGCCGCCCGCCCGTTAGGGTGACACGCGTGCTACCTCGATTAGTTTAACGCCCCGCCCTCGCGACCGACCCGCCGCCCGCCCGCCCGTTAGGGACCCGCCCGCCTTCCGACCCGCCCACCCGTCAGGGTCCGCCCGCTCGACCCGCCGCCCGCCCGTTCGAATAACACGCGTGCTACCTCGACTATGCGTCATACTTTAATTTCCCGCCTGCCGAGCCGGCCGCCAGCACGCCCGTCAAGGTACCGCCCGCCGCCCGACCCGTCCCGCCCCTTCGGGTACGCGCGTGCTGAGATGAACACGCATCACACGTTGATGTCCCCGCCCGCCCGATCGGCCCGCGGCCCGCCCGCCCGTCAGGGTCCCGCCCGCTCCCGACCCGCCCGCCCGACCCGTGCCGCCTGTTAGGGTACGCGCGTGTTCAGATGAACACGCTTCACACATTAGTGTCCCGCCCGCGCGACCGACCCGCTGCCCGCCCGCCCGTTAGGGTCCCGCCCGCCGCCCGACCCGCCCACCCGTCAGGGTCCGCCCGCCAGACCCATTCCGCCCATGAGAATACGCAGTGCGGCGACGAGGAGGATCGGAGGAGGACGAGGACATGGAGGAGGAGGAGGATTTTTTTTGTTTTTGTTTTTTTTTTTTCTCTCTCTCTCTCTCTTTCGCTCTCCTTTTTTTCCTCTCTCTCTCTCTCTCTTTCTCTCTCGACGAAACAATTTGGAACCGCTAGCACTCCTACTCCTCCTGTTCCTCCTTCTCCTTCTCCTCCTCCTTATAGTACTACTGCTGATCTTGTTACCATTATTGCAACTATTAAGACTACGACTATTAGTACTACTCGTACTACTACTAATATTATTTGTAAGGGCTTCGCCCCATGCCGCCGGCCCGCTTTCTCGGAGAATGGGAGATGCAACAGCTAAGTCATGAGGTTTGGGCGCCGCCGTGAAGCAGTGTCTGGACCTGTTTGTTTTTCGACCCTGACCCTACGGATCTGCGTCACGGGTGCCACCGAGATTTCAGAAATGTGGCAAATCCTTTTTGTTTTTGGACCCAGACCCCACGGATCTGCGTGAGGGGTGCCGCCGAATTTCAGAAATGTGGCAAATCCCTTGTGTATTTGGACCCTGACCCTGCCGATCTGCGTGAGAGGTGCCACCGAATTTCAGACGTGTGGCACATCCTTTATGCTTTTGGACCCTGATCCTGCCGATGTGCGTGAGGGGTGCCAGCAAATTTTAAACATGTGGCACATCCCATGTGTTTTTGCACCCTGACCCCGCCGATCTGCGTGAGGGGTGCAGCCGAATTTTGAAAATGTGGCAAATCCCTTGTGTATTTGGACCCTGACCCTGCCGATATGCATGAGGGGTGCCACCGACTTTCAGAAATGTGGCAAATCCTTTTTGTTTTTGGATCATGACCCCGCCGATCTGCGTGAGGGGTGCCACCGAATTTTTGACATGTGGCAAATTTCTTGTGTTGTTGGACCCTGACCCCACCTTTCTGCGTGATGGGGTGCCACCGGATGTCAGGAATGTGGCAAATCCTATGTGCTTTTGGACCCTGACCCTGCCGATCTGCGTGAGGGGTGCCACCAAATTTTAGAACTGTGGCACATCCCGTGTATTTTTGGACCCTGACCCCGCCGATCTGCGTGAGGGGTGCCACCAAATTTTAGAACTGTGGCACATCCCATGTGTTTTTGGACCCTGACCCCGCCGATCTGCGTGAGGGGTGTCACCTCAGAAATGTGGCAAATCCCTTGTGTTTTTGGACCCTGACCCCGCCGATCTGGGTGAGGGGTGTTAATTTTTACCCACCCCAGCAATTCAGACAACACGCTCAGGGCTTGGTCAAAATACCCGTTTTGGGCCTCCCCCCCTCGCGCGGTCCATCAACGAGGAACAGTAAGCAGCAAGAAGCAGAACTGTATCAACAAGGAACAGTAAGCAGCAAGAAGCAGAACTGTAACAGTGGAAACTGGAAGCTG